GCTGCTTCCACCTTAGACATAAACGCAATGGCAAGACTTGGTGCCAGTCATTGTCCCATTGCCAGCTTTTTCATTTGTGCGTAATACCTCCCGGTTAGTGGTAAGGGTGAAGAGATCGCTGTAATTCCCCATCAATTAGATGTTGAGATAACGGAAAAGCACCTTGAAGATGCTTCCCTTTAACGTCCGTCGTCTGAGAAAGAATTTAAAAGTCAATACCGAAAGTTAAACAACGAATAGGTTAGTTAAAGTGGCAAAAGTGGATGGGTTAAAACCATCAGTTATCTCTTGTCTAAAAATTGACTTATCAACATGATCCGTTCTGTACTTACTTGTCAAAACCCATAAGTTAGTACCCAGCGATGATCTCGTGTCTACCGATCCGTCGCTATTTAAGGTTAGACCTAACATTAGCTGCGTGGACGGGCCAACAGATAGAATAACGTGGTTAACAACCCTAATACTTACTCAGTTGTTGAAGTACATTCCAGCTCATCTAACGAACATCTAAATGTTCCTGGATCGTCTACGTAACGCGCGACCCAACAGCACGTACGTGGTGGAGTCCTTCGACGTCACTTGCCTCTATAAGAACGTGTCGATTGACTCCGCTATGCAAGTCATCCGCGAGCCCCTTATACAACACGAAGGAGCAACAAACATGTACGGCTTCTCGATTTAGCAGTTAATGACACTCTTAAAGCAGTGCCTAAACTGCTCAATCTTTAGATGATGCGGGAAGTATTACGCCCAAATGAGAGGGCTGGCAATGGGACAACTACTGCCACCAAGCCTTGCCATTGCATCCATGTCTAAGGTGGAAGCGCTAGTAATCGACCTCAGGCCGCTAATCTACTGTAGATGTATAGATGACTGCTTGGTCATTTGTTTAACACAGGAGGAAATTCACAGATGTTTCGAGTTGTTGAACAGTTAGAGTATACCAAATTCACACAAGGAAACCAAAAGAAAACTGGCCTCCACTTCTGAACGTGCAAATTAACCTATCAGAAAACGTCTACATTACGAAATGGTTTCGAAAGCCAAGTAGTAAAAACATTTCGGTTTATTACCTCTCCTCCCATCCCTCTCACACGAAAAGGGCGCTTCTGAGAAACATGTTACGAACAGCTACCTCGGTGTGCACAGGAAGACAACAGAGAGAGGAGTCCCGGAACTTGGCGCGGCAAATAGCCATTTCCAATGGCCACGAAACTGTAGCTCGGGATAGGTGTAGGGAAAATTGGAGGCTTCCAAACGACAACTCTAGCGGTGAAAGGGTTCCGTTTATCCCACTCTTCATCTCGAATTATGTAATTGCAACCATAAAACGCTGTTTAAGAAGGGCCGGTCTAGAGAATTCGGTAACGATAATCGAAATACCACCGAGTAATCTAAGACGCCAGCTAGTTCGTAAGCGCCTATACATGTACAACTCAAAATTGCATAATTTGCCCCAATGGTAGAGACGGTGACGGCTTGAGTTCGGGTACAGTCTATCTGATCTCTTGTAAAAGGTGCGAGGGCGAATACGTTGGCGAAACGGTTAGACCACTCTGCATACGTATAAAAGAACACCTAGTCGGCAAATGTAAACCAAATACTCCACTAGGCACGCATAGGACGCAGAGATATAACGGAGAAGATTTTAAAATAGGGGTTACGTTCCTCGCGCAAGAATCGAGAACACAAGCGCGCAAAACCCTAGAGGCATTCTGGATTAATCCCAAGAATCCGAAAATGAACCACGGAGAGGAATGCCTCATTATCACGCATGATATTGGGCAGTATATAAGCCTGTTATTTTGATGAGATGGGCTCAGTACGATTTTGCGTGAACTCTGTGCAGTTGCTCTCCACGTAACATATTTAGTGGAAGACTCATAGAAAGCGGTGAGTGTGCAATGACTCTATGTTCAATGTGATTGAAATTTTGGTTCAGCATTTTCTCTGTTTGGTTATGGACGTGTTTGGCCGTGTAGATTGTAGTCAACCTGACCTTTGCAGGCTCTAAGGAAGGCGAAATCCGCCGAAACATCAGCTTGTTCGTAAATAAAGAAATAAAGTAACACCTCGTGTTTGCTGAACAGAACAGAAGTAGAAAGAATTATTCAATCAATGCCGAGTTTAATAGAAAGTTGGACCTGGGAAATTTTTCCGTTTGTAGCTCACATTTTGTAGCACAGAGGCTTCTGCAATATACGTAGGTTCGATCCCAGGCTTCAGGGTCACCACCCCTTTCACCCCCTCCCTCTCCGACGTCAGTAGTGGTGCCAGACCAGTCTGTGAGAACAGCAGCGCTGACTCAATGCATTGGTAAAGCACCGCAAGGATCTTCTGGTTCATTATATTTGTCATGGGTTTATTTTAGAAGCAAAACATGCATCCAGTCAGCTCTAACGATGCTCAATCAAGATGAATGCATGGCGAAACCCTCAGGGATCAGTCAACGCTGAAAGCTTAACCCTTCTATTTGTTCTTATAGTTTACATTTTAGTATGCATCGAATAGCGATTTACTTATATTTTTTTCTATTTACACCTATAATACTGTAAACATCTATGGAAAGGCTACTGTATATGACTTTATAGACCAGATGTGGGTTGTTCCACTATTGACGAAGACGAATGCATGGCACATCACTCACGAGTTGATCACTGTCAAAAGCTTTATCCATTTAGCCTATGATATCATTCTTTAACAGTAATTTTTTTTCATTTACTGCCTACTAGAATTTTTCACGGCAGGGTTTTATACGTGACACAACCACAATGGTCCCGAGATATTTGCAGAACTCTGGACCGCAGGTGTCTGCGGTGGAGAACGAACGTGCTACTACCCTTTGCGGGGGCTAACGCTTTCACCACCACACCATACCAGTCCTCCGTTTCACCTGTTGCTCAGTTAGTTTTATCGTTGAGTAGCATCATCATCAATCACCTGTCGGCGGGATTGATCTAGGTATCCAAAATCCATCACCTTAAAGTAAAGCTTAAATGAAATCAGTTAGTTTTATCGATGAGTGTCATCAGTTAGATTTTGAGATAAAGAAAAAGCACTTTGAGGACGCTTCACTTTATCGCCCATCATCTGAGAAGGAGTTTAAAAGTAAATACCGAAAATTGAACCACGAATGGATCAAAATGGCAAGGACTGATAGTTTAAAACGATCAGTTATCTCTTAACTAAAAGTTGACTTATCAACATGTCCCGTGCTGTACTTACTTATCAAAACCCGTAATTTAGTACCCAGTGATGATCTCGTGTCTACCGATCCATCGTTATTTAAAGGTTAGATCTATCATTACCTGCGTAGACGGACCAACGGATAGGAAAGGATAACATGGTTTGTAGCCCTAATATTTAACCAGTTGTTGGAACACATTCCAGCCTATGTTACGAATACCCAGATGTTTCTGGATCGTCTTCGTACTGCGCAGCCTAGCAGGTGATGGATTCCTTCGACGTTACCGCCCTTTATACAGATGTGTCGAATGACTCCGCAATGCAAGCCACATTCGAACTCCTTATACAACACGAAGAAGAAATAAACATGTATGGCTTCAAGATAGAGCAGTTGATGGCACTCTTAAAAGGAATGCTTGAGCCGTTCAATCTTCAGATGGTCCGGCAAGTACTACGCTCAAATAAGAGGGTTGGCAATGGGACAACGGCTGGCACCAAGTCTTGCCATTACGTTTATATCTAAGGTGGAAGCACTGGTGATTGATCTCGGGCCGCTACTCCATTGTAGATATATAGATATGACTGCTTGGTCATTTGTTCAACACAGGACGAAATACACAGATGTTTCGAGCTGTTGAACGAACAGTCAGAGTGTATTAAATTCACTGAGAAAAACCAAAAAAAACTTGCCTGCATTTCTGAACGTGCAAATTAACCTATCAGAAAACGGCTACATTACGAAATGGTATCGAAAGCCAAGTAGTGAAAACATCTTTGTACATTACCTGTCTTCACACCGCTTTCGCACAAAAAAGGCGCTGGTAAGAAACATGTTTCGAACAGCAACCAACGTGTGCACGGGAAGAGAGCAGACAGAGGAGTCCCGGAACTTGGTGCGGCAAATAGCCATTTCCAATGGCTACGAAACTGTAGCTCGGGTTAGGTGTAGAGGAAATCGTAGGCCTCCAAACGACAACTCTAGCGATAGAAGGGTCCCGTTTATCCTACCCTTCATTTCAAATGATGTAAGTGCAGTTATAGAACGCTCCTTGAGGAGGGCGGGCTTAGAGAATTCGGTAAACGTAGTTGAAATGCCACCGAGTAATCTTAGGCGCCAGCTAGTTCGTAACCGCTTGTTTGACCGTCTATGTGCAATGCAAAATTGCATAGTTTGCCCCAATGGTAAAGACCGTGATTGCATGAGCTCGTGTATAGTTTATCTGATCTCCTGTAAGGCGTGGTGAGACGAATACATTGGCGAAACGGGCAGACCCCTCTTTGTTCGCATAAAAGAACACCTAGCCGGCAAAAATAAACCAAATTTCCCACTTGGCACGCATAGGACCCAGAGGCATAACGGGGAGGACTTTGAAATATGTGTCACGATCCTCGCACAAAAATCGAGAACACAAGCGCGCAAAACTCTCGAGGCATTCTGGATTAATTCCAAGAATCCGAAAATGAACTGCAGGGATGAATGCCTCATTATCACGCGTTATATTGGACGGTATACAAACCTGTTATTCTGATGGGAGGGGCACATTACGCTTCCATGTGAATCCTGGCGCGTTTGGTCTTCACGCGACACACTCACTGGAAGCCTCATAGAAAGCGGTGAGTGTGCAATGGTATGTTCAATGTGATTGAAATCTTGGTTTAGCGTTTTCTCTGTTTGGTTATGGAGGTATTTCTCCGAATAGATTGCTTTCAACTTGACGTTTCCAGGCTCTGAAGAAGGCGAAATCCGTCGAAACGTCAGCTTGTACGTAAATAAATAAAGAAATAAAATAAAACTTCGTGTTTGCTGAACAGAACTAGAAATAATTAAATGAAGGTTTCTCAATGACAACCCTTCTTAGCCAGTCAAAAATTCTTTGCACTTCTTGCTGACGTGCGAGCTCCGCTTTCACTTCTACATACGAGTCGTTGATGATGGGGAGGAGCATGTTCTTAATGGAAATTCCGGAATCCATCTATACATTAGGAAGTGAACGTGTGTGCAAAAAGCGAGACTCTTAGCTAGGCAACCTGATGGAAACGCCGGACTCCTCGTTCTTAGTTTAATGTAAGTAGCTAGCGTTTAGCCATCTAGTCTGTATATTAGACCACCTGTGTTCCTAGCTACTTACATTAAACTAAGAACGACCATCTAGTCTGTATATTAGACCACCTGTGTTCCAAACATGAGGTAGCCGAACTGCGCGTAAGCGAAGAAGAGCACGGCGAACATGACAGCGAAGCCACCGATGTCCTTGGTGGAGCGTGACAGCGTTGCCGACAACTGGTTCATCGTCATGTTGAATCCAATTTAGTTCAAAACATGAAAAATTGACGCATCTAGACAGGACGTTTTTCTAAGCCAAACAATTCTAGCACCAAAATACTGCAACCAATAAGCGATCAGATTTAACATGTACCACTTGTCCTTTTGTTGATCACGCATATAGGTATCATTAGTCAGTTGTTCCTGTCCCGGGCCAGAGTCGTGCAGTATGTTCTGTTTGTTTACGATAACCGTATTGACGTGTTTTACGACAAAGATTGCTGTGAAAGGGTTCACTCATCGGGTCTGTTCACTTACACATTTTTCAACTTAGCGGTATCACCACAGATCAACCTTCGAGAATCAAGCAGATACGCATCAGGGACTGATCAACTAACCAGTTCTCACGCTACTCTGCCTAATCATTCGTTTTAAAAACTAATAAAGCCGTTGCTGAAGTACTGCAGCCGCGCTGATTTGAACCGATTGTCAACAGCTGATCATTCTTGCGATGTTATTCTTTGTAGCCGCATCGAGTCGAATTCATTGCACCGCTCGAACGAGGTAATCTTACTCGACAGCTCCCTTCGGTTATCGTAGGTTGTTCGTACGTTCGTCGTAGCAGCCGAAGCCACACGTAGAAATTTCGACGACGTTCGTGGATGATGGATGCGAGAAGTTTTGCGATCCGCACAGGAAAAGTGAAGGAAAGACAAGTCATGTTAGAAGAACTAGAAACGGTATTTCCTGTGAGATAGCCTTTCACAAACGCTGTCTTATGTGGTGTTTATGGGAATCCTGCTCCCTTTCTATAATTAACTAGTAAGGTGCGGCCCTGCTAGAACTAAAAACCAGTTTTCTGATATCAAATTCAATATCAATAATAAAGATCAATAATAATAATCAACAATAGTCGAATATCAATATCAATCAATTGTCTGATATAAAAATCATCCGTCATCACAATCTATTAGTTACTGGTTCAAATACCTTGCTCATCCACGTAAGAAACAGTATCACTGCTGCAACATTATTAAAATTTTCTTGTGTATCGAGCACATCGTTGAAAAAAGCATCAGTTATGGCATCTAGAAAGAATGTGTTCATCCCCGTCGACTTCATCCTTTATCCTTGTATGCTTTACCCCAGCTCACAAGGATACGTCCATTGTTAAACTATTTTTTTAAAATTTTAAAGGATATAAGGATAAAGGACAAAGCTCTCGGCTTTGATCAGTTCCCTGATGGATGAGCCATGCATTCGACTTTATTAAGAATCGTTAGAGGTGATTGAAAGCATATCTGGCCTACACAATGACTCGCGGTGACCTACCGATGTATCAAGCCAGTGGTACTATACTCCGAGACAAGTCTCGCACCACTGCCGACGCCAGAGGGATGGAAGGCTTATTGTGTCTGGAGCACTGGGATCGATCTCATGTGTAGGGCGCCTTCGACCACTTCGCCTCCGACCACAGCTTCAGCTTAGGTGGGTTCAATGTTGATTTGTGCTTCCCAGGTCATTCCCGTTTAAAGATTTTTGTTAATGGCACTGGTAAGGTAAAGAATAAAGCGCTTCATCTTTTATTATGAGGGGACACGAAAAGTCCAACCTCCCGACGGTTTTCAGCCTCTTCGTGGATGGGAGGCGTTCCCGGGTGTGGGGCTGCGATGTACAGCCCGAATTCATCCACGCAGCAGGCTCTCCCGAGTTGAGAAAGAGTCCGGCGTTTGCATCAGAAAGCTTGGCTAAGAGTAGACCAATACCAGGATCCACCACCGTCCTGGCATCAAAGTCGCACAGTGGTAAATCTCCCTCTGATCCACAAGCGCGGAGACTGCCTATGGCGGTGAAGACCTAGGGCAAACTTTAGCCAGGCTGACCTCGGAATTCCAGGAAACCACATTAGCTTAACCAGCAAATCTCCCAAAAATAGGGATTATGTTGGGACCTGCACAGCCAGTGAGGACGGGCCATTCAAGTATCCTTGTAAGTAAGTAAGAGACAAGAAATGGATAGTGTAGGGCCCAGCGGTTTCGTCGCGATGAAGCTCCGCAGCACTTCTTGAAGCCAGAATTGGACCGAATAAAGTTCACGGTGACCTTCTCATGATCTACGGCTTTTTTAATTTATTGCACGTTTTTTAATATGGACGAAGCGGTTAAGGTGATGAAGTAGGTCCAACAAATCGACGAAAGGCATCAGGAATTGCAACAGGTTCGCCACGCACTAATCAGCAGGAAAGCGCCAAACCTCCACGATAATGTGGAGCAAAACGTACTTTCACCGGCACTGCAAAGCACGAGTGAGGTGGGTTAGTAAGCTTTAGAAACTAAAAACGTCAAGCGCACGAGGACGAGTATATTTGCGAAACGAGTAGACCACTGCGTACGGGTGTACAAGAACACTTGGACGGTAAGCGTAGAGCTGAGGAAAATATTCCACTGTGAGCGCATAGGACACAGATATATCACAGGAAAGATTTTGAAGCAGAAATCATCGTCCTTGCACAGGAGTCTAAAACTTTAGCGTGTAAAAGCCCTAGAACATTTCGTATAAATTTCAAGGATCCGAAAATGAGACCCAGTGAAGAATGTTTCGTTATCACGCTTGATCAACGCAATATCTCAGAATAATATTTCCACGTGAAAGAGGCGTATTGTCCATCCATCTGTACTTCGTATGGTTGGTCTTCATGTGAAATACGTAGTGAGAAACTCATTGAAATTTTTGAATATGTGAAAAAGCTGTTTTATTTTTAATGCGTTTAAAGTTTATTCCAGGTGATGGAGGTGCTTGGCTGGTTAGTTGGCGGTTAACTTAGTCTTTTCAGCCTCTGAAAAAGGCGAAATTCTACGAAACATAAGCTGTTGTAAATAAATGATGATAGACTGTGTACCTGATCATGACGGTTGCATAAAATTCCCAAAAGGTGTGAATCTCAGCTGTTGACACGAGTTTCTGAAAGAGAAATAGTGACTTGATTATGAGGCTTTCCTTTGATGTGGAACAGTACTGTGCACTCCTTCTGTTTCACTACCACGTCAATCAAAACGCAATTTACCCTATCTTATGTCCACTTTCTGTTAAACAAACTCGAAGCGCGCAAGTTTCTGACTCTGGATCTTCACGACTGCGCTCAGTCTATGTTTGAAGAGCTAATTTCTATGCAGCTGAAAAAGTGGACGTTGTGAATTCAAACTGGAACTTTTCAAGAAACGAAGCTACATTTATTAGTGCCCTAAGACTATTAGCACTAGCTGACTCTTGGGCCGACTCCTGACCTAAAGCTTGTTGCGAACTGGACGACACCTAATTTTCAGCCTCTATGCGCTTGTTTCTCTTTTGAACATAAACAAAATTTTTTCAGTAACTTGAGGGCTTTCCGGGCTCTCACATGAATAAATTTTAAAAAAGAGTTTGCTCTGTCGTCCTATGGATTCACACAAACACATTCTCGTCAGCTCTTGGAAGCTTTTTATACAACCGGTGATACTTTAGCTGAGTAGTTTTTTGTAGCCGCATACTCTTTGCGACGACTATCATTCACCATAGCCATTCGAATTAAAACAACTTCTTATTTTCTGCCTACTACAATATTTTTGGTAGAATAATATGCGAAATAGAACCACAGTGGTGCCCGGAAATAGTAATAGCGCGTTCGTTCCCACCGCAGACACGTGTGGTCCAGAGTTTTGCAAATATCTCAGCAACATTGTGGTTGAGTCACACATTATACCTTGCCGTCGTGAAAAATTGTAATAGGGAGTAAATAAAAAAAGTTAGCATTAGGACTTCTATATTCGGCTAATTGATTCGATGAGGACCAAAACGACTGACCTGTTCAATATGTTACCGTAGTCGATCACATTAATCATTACAACTAGAATTCGATATCCTATGATGATGTTAGTTATTATAATTACAGAGACGCGTGTGGCGCAGTGGACGGAGGTGCCCGGCAACACACACGTGGAATCGATCCCCGCACCCATGACCCACTAAGTCTTCGATCCCTCTAGGGTCGGCAAATTGGTACCAGACTTGCCTGGAAGGTTAGCAGCACTGGCTCAATACATTGGTGAGCCACCGCGAGTCATTGTAAAGGCCAAATATGCATTCAATCACCTCTAAACAATGCTGGGCGAAGTCGAATGCATGGCGCATCCCTCAGGGGTTGATCAACGCCGAGAGCTTTTTCCATTATCCTTTAATATTTTCTATCAGTGCGACTCCTTTGCATGTCACCTCGTCTCATATGTGTTTAGAAATCATCACTGGATGCCAACGATTTAGGAGCAAAATATCTATTGATTTTCGACGAATGCAGGACGAAACTGTGTTTGGATACCTTCTTCCGTGACTCATAGAACTACTTTATGTCCTACTAATTGTGTTCGGAACCGGTTTTGATTCACACCCGCCTTTTGGTTTTTGGAGAGGTCAAATTTCACCTCGGAACACGTGCTACTGCCAATATTGAGTCTTCACCTTCGATACTAATCTTAATGATTTTCCAAAAATCTTAAGTAGCGCGTCCCTGAGGATGTTGGTAATATTTAACAAATAAATGAGAACCGAAATGATCAGCAACACTATCGCTTCGCTTTTTTCTCTCTTTATTCTTTTTCATTCGGAACCGTTGAAAAGTGGTCAATAAAAGGTGAAAGTTCGTCGACACAAAGGTGATTAGCTCTGAATTATCTGCGGCTTTCACCTCGCACAGCTGTTTCTCGTGCTTTTCCTTCATGTGATGGTTACGTGGATCGTTGTTGTTTATCCTCCATCCCAACCAACGAGACGAAATTGATCTCTTTCAGTGTAAAATTCGCTCTTGCTCAACATCAACCTTCATAGACATACAACGAATGACGATAGCGCTGTGTTTCGGAGACGCAGAGGTCGGCCGAGTGTGATGATGGGTGGAGCCGAGGGTTTCGGAGCCGCGGCGATAGCCGGCGACTGACACCCGGCCAGTGTACCCAGAATGTGGCGACGTTCGTTCCTCCTCTGCTTCATCGCTTTCGTTCAACTCGTCGAGGTAATCACTTCGTTTGTAACATCTTATACAGCCGGTAATCTAACCGTTGCCGTTATAGTAACATGCCTGAGACTACTTAGAAAGACAAGTGTAGACGGAACAGAAGTTTGCAATTCTCCTTTGCTTCTCGAAGATGTAATGAAGCTTCGTATTCATTAAGTGGTCTCATCTTCCAAATATCCTGCGTTACCTCAGATCAAATTAAACGGCGGAAATTGTTCCATTGGCTTTTAAATTGAAAGAAAGCAGGAACATTTAAGCAGAAACTCTACGATTGCTTTCGTTTTGCCGAAGTAGAAACGAAGTTAAGTTCGAATGATTCTCTTCGCAAAAAATAGGTTGCTATAAATCTAAAAACGAACTTGACAGTGCTGGTCAAACCTAGTTTAACCTGGGTGTAAATAATCAATAACTTTTGGGATTATTGAACTGACACGACGTTGTCAATAAGTTTTATTTGGCTGACATTTGGGACGCCTTCGGCTTCTTGGGAGCCGCATCGATCCGAGTTCATTGTCCACATCCGGTCGTTGTCGCCGTGATGTGGGTTTAAGTTGTAACGTCGGGTAGAATCTTCTGGAATGGAGCACTGCTCGAATGATTTTTCCTATCTCGGCAATGCCTTTTTGTGGAGGTCGCTTTTTCACCTAATGCCGACTAACATGGTCAGCTGATCTACTTTCATGCTGGTAGTGTTCCCGAGTAGAAGTCGGTGGTATAATAGTTAATAAGTAGCCTAGTAATATGTCTAAGAACCGACTTTGGTCTAACCTTTAAACAAGTTTTTATGTTTATAGCGTGCAGCATTCTATATTCAAACAAGAAAGTGAAATTCTTAGGCGAAGTGCAGTTCGTCGAGGAAATGCGAAATTCTGTTTTTGTTTTCTTATTCGCAGAAATACATCTTGAAATGATCCAGGCTAGGCTGCTCTAGGCTTAACGCTCAGCAAAAATTTTTTAGGATTTTGTCTTGATCGCGCCATTATCTGCACAGTTGATCTTTGTCGGAACAAGTTTCTAGAGAAGAACTTCTCTGCTTTTAAATGAAATAACTAGTCTGTAAAATGTTAATAGTGAATAGAACGAAACAGAAAGAGTTGAGTTTGTAAGAAAGGCTTCCTCGGAATAGAAATAATTTTCACGCCGTCACTATGACTTTGTTGAAGTTAGTTGGCATACTGAAGGGACTGGAAACGTTAAACTTCATTACGAATAGGTTGCGAACTTAATTGAATACTTGAATGTTTGAATGACCTGTCCTCACTGGTTGTGCGGGCCCAAGCATAATCTCCATTTTTTCGGAGACTTGCTGGCTTTTCTAGAACCCTGCGGTCAGCCTGGCCAAAGTCTGTCCCAGGTCTTCACCAACACAGGCATACGCAGCCCTTGTGGATCAGAAGAAGATTTGCCACCATGCGACTGATTTGACACCAAGATGGTGATGGATCCTGATAGGTTTACTTTTAGCTAGGTTTCCTGATGGAAACGCCGGTTGTTCATCAGAGATTGTGAATTGGTAACGGATTTCTTTGCATCATCCACATTTTGTGTTTTTTGCGTGTACTTCAAAAACTCAAAAAAACTGTACTCAAGTACAGACTTCAGTGTGCATTCGTGAGCCTGAGTAGTGGAAATGAATCAGGAAAAGAGAGCAAAATTCAACTACAGCGAAATACCGACATAGTATAATGTAAAAATATTACCTTAGAAACTTCGATTACTCGAAAACTCATGACGTTGTAGCCCAACTTCTATTTTATTAACAAAGATTTTGCCTTAGAGTTATAAGTTAGCCGCACCGTTAAGTTTCCTGGCCCAGAAAGTCGTCTGCTGTTATTCAGTGGAAAGAGGCTTGCCACTTTGCAACTGATTACTCCTGCAGAATAAGGCGATTCTTGGAATATGCTTACTCATAGCTGGAGATCCATTGAAAACACCGAGTCCATTCACAGCTTGGATGACATAATCTTGTTCTAGATAGCAGATCGCTTCCTATGAAGAGCCATTCGTCACAATGAAGCGGTACAGCACTAAAGCAGGGAATGCGTGTTGTGATTTGCATAAGTACGAGACGCCAATATTGCAAAGAAAGTTAACATAGACCGCTCTAGTGATGTATCGAATCTAGCTTGTTACAACAGCGTCGATGTTATAGTCGACCTTTTCTAAAACGCTGCCTTCCTGCTAATTACGACATTAATCACCAGGCACCCTTCGATCCACAATGGTTGGTAAGCACATGGAGTTTAGAGGGGTGAATGACCTAGCACTGCTATCTCGAGATTTCATGAAGAAGTAAATTCGAAAAAAAAAATATAGGTCCTCAATTCGATCCTAAACCTAGGTCCAAACCCGATTACCTCCAGTAATGGAAGTAGTAAGGTAATGAAACAAATAGGAAAGTTCTGCGGCTTTCACAGCATGTTGCGACGGGCGTCTAGCTTTCTTAATAGATAATGAAGAATTGATCTCCAAACTGTGTGACTAAAACAGCCTAAGTCTAAAGTATTAAGCAGGCGTATGATCCGCTTACAGGATCGACTCATTACGAAGACTAGTCATAATTTATAAGACTTCTCGTAAGGTATTTCAAGCGAGATGGATGACTGAGATCACGTCTCAACATATTTAAACAAGATTCGTCCTCATTTCTAGGCGGCGGGAATCTGAAAAGTAGTCATTCCAAATGTGGCGTTTTCTTCTTCAGCATTCGCAAAGTTGTTATACAGCACAGTTCCAGCAGTATCGTCTTGCTTAGAGCTGCTTTTTACGTGAATTCCACTGAAGATGAACAGCCGCTTCAAGTCGCATATCTTCGATGACTCAACACACACATTGACACATTTACAATCTAATGCCGAGGTTAAGAGAAAGTCGATCCTCGGAACTAAACAGTCTTTTTACTATTACATCAGAACATCATAGATCAAATTTTAAAAAGTAGCAAATTTTTAAAAGCTGTTGGACTCAGTGAAAGTACTTTTCGAACTACAGTAATTTAACCTTGATATGAGCGATCAACGTACTTAATTCATTCATAAGCTAAACGAGCTTTTTACCAAACATTTATTAGGCTAGCGTTTCGACGTCTTTGTCTTCCTTGGTTCCGAAGACAACATATCGAGAAGACTAACGACAGTGGCTCGGATCATTAGCTCTGAGGAAGACGAAGACGTCGAAATGTTAACCGAATAAATGTTTAGTAACAACTTCGTTTTGATCGCAACCTTAACCTTTTTATTTACTGCCTATTCTTTTTAAGGTGGGGTATTTTGCCAAATATAACTATTATAGTGCTGACATATTTTCAAAACTCCGGACCGCAGGTGTCTGCGGTGGGGAACAAACGCGCTATCGTCCTTTCCGGAGAGTAACGCGTTCACCACCACACCATGCGGGTCCTTCGTTTCGTCTGTCTCAGAAACCTGCGGTCTGGAATCTTGAAAATATCTCAGCATTATAATAGTTACATTTCGCAAAACACCCTGCCTTAAAAAGAATGGATAGTAAACAAAAAGGTTATGATTGTGATTATAACTATAGCCTCAGCTTAAGTGGGTTCAATGCCGATTTGAGCTCCCAAGATCAATCCCGTTGACGGGTGATTGCTAATGGCAAAAAGATCGATAGAACTAGATGAGAGACAGGCGAAACGAAAGACCCGCATGGTGTGGTGGTGAACGCGTTACTCCCCGGAAAGGACAATAGCGCGTTCGTTCTCCACCATAGATACCTGCGGTCCAGAATTTTGCAAATATCTCAGCATTATAACAATTATATTTCGCAAAAAAACCTCTTTTTAGTTTATCAATAAAAGTACTCCAAGATTTCGTATTTAGGGCGCGGCTCAGCGTGAAGCTGGAGTGGCGCTTGGCTATCGACCGAACTGCCACCCGAAACCAGAAGGCGGCTGCAAATGTGACATTAAGAGCGGTGCCGTAGACACCCAGATCGAGTTTGCTACCGATAACGAATGCAAAAAGCCGGTTGAAAGTAAGTTGAGATCGAATGTTTTCCACGAACCTACTATTTACTTCTGCATATCTGAGTTGGTTTTCTAAAGTAAGTTCTTGCTACAGAAGTTGGGTTTAAATAAAGCTTCGTTCCGGAAGGACAAATTTCTTTTTTCATCATTCTAGCTCCTTTATTTTCACCTTAATTCAAAGAATGAAAAGAAAAAATACAATTGCAAAATGCTTTAATGGGAAGGGAAACTAGAACTATTGAAAGAATCATTCTTCAGATAGCCGCAACTGTGTAGAAAATGCTTTCTTCTGGGTCACTGTGAACAATTATACTACCCCTGCGAGTTATTTGACAGTTCTTAAATCAAGTTTACCACGATAGGATGATAGAAAATGTGGTACACTTAGATTCTGATTTCGCCCGTGTTGTAATGTAGTTATTAGCGCCAAATCTCCTTTTGAGCTGGCAACTCTCTCTGGTGTTTATCTCGTGCAGCTCTGGCAAGGACATCTCGTGGTTTTAAAGATGGGGGCGAGTTGCTCAACCATCTATAAACAAACCTTGGCACTCTGGCACACTTGGCGCTCTCGTCAAAGCGATGCTACGCGAGAATATCAGTTAGAATATCCTTACTAGCGTAACTCATAAACGATATGCCACGAAGACCTTTTTTGTCTCCTCACCAAACTTCGAAGATATATGACTGTACTTGTTATTCTTCACGTCGGTTCACGCGAAATCTTATTAAGGAGAAGAGAAAGAAGGTCTACTCCTATGGAGGAATCGCTTCATGGCCAGCATTATATAAAAACGATTATGAAATCACAAACCAAGTACAGTTACTGCCGAAAATCTCCGTAGCTAATACCACTTTTATTTACCGAGTTCCATAGGCTCGATTTCTGCATATTCGAGGAGAACTCATATCGCAGTCCAAAAAAGAAAAGAAAGTTTATGAATGCGAGGACAGGACTTACTTCTTACTTCGCCAGGTGGTAAATGGGAATCATTTTAAAAACCACTGGTTGGAAGGCTTTAGAGATGTGCCAAACACCCCGCTCTTTAAACAAGGAGTTTTAACGGAATCTCCGCAACTACTAAAGAGCTGCGCAGCAAGAGTGAGCTTGGAAAACGAAATGTCTAGTCCGGTCAGTAATAAATGTTGTTCAAGGTTCCTTACATGATAACTTACAGCTGTGCAGACGCAAAACACGTCTGGCCAGCTCAGAAAGAGGTACGCTAAAGAAGAGCGGTTTTTTACCAATATAAAATTTCACTATCAGATTTGATGAACAGAAGGAACGGCAATCATATACCGCCGTGGCAAGAAGTTGTTGACGCAAAATTTCAATAACGCTTTCTATTTTGGAACCATAACCCTGGATAGCACAACTTTCACTGTAAAAAGCAATGCGAATCCTTCGTTTATTAAATTCAGGCTTAGATCAAGAGGAGCACACCCCTGTGAACGTGCCAAACCACAGTGAGCTTTCTTTGAGTTGGAAACCAGCTACCATGCTCACTTCTCCTACATGACTCCATGCTCTCAAAATGAGAAGATTTCAATAATTGTATAAAGGCTTGTACACGATAGACTTGTCTAAACGGTTGGCAAAGTTCTTTTCTTCCTCACTTAACAACTGTGACTCGACGTGATTCTTGAGTGTTGTCTAAGACGATTTCATGAGTCCAAGCGCACACATGAAGAATTTTGGATAACGCTCAACCAATCGCGCATAGAGGGGACATCTGCCATAAAGGCTACGCAGGAGTCGTAGTTACGGTCACTGAATTCTATCTACAATATCATCTCTTTCTTGTGCGAAGCTTTTCAATTTAAAAAAAAATTAGACAACGTTGAAATATATGACGTCCTTTATATCAGTGCTGGCAGACTAATAAGAAGGCTTGTCGTATGTAAGAATACTACTGTAAATGGAAATCAGTCACGCTTACTCCCCAGATTTCTTCAATAGCCGCATCCTCTTTCCCTCATATGAAATAAAGGAGGATGGATATGTTGTACCACCGGTTCTCCCTTCCGAAATCCGACATGCCATTTCGTCGGTGGAAAATCGAACAACACCAAGTCCGGATAGGATAAGATCAAAACACCTGAGGAACCTTCCACCAGTCCTTGTAAACACGCTGGCTCAGCTCTTCGCACGTTACCTGTTTGAATTCAAGGTCTCTACTTAATGGAAGACCAGCAGGACGGGACTGTTATTTAAGAAGGTTGACCTCCACGATATCGGTAACTGTCGTCTAATCTGCTTACTTTCTGTCGTGTACAAGTTTTTCACTCGAGTAATCCTAAACAGGATTGACAGAACACTGGACGAAGACAGTCATGTAAATACGCAGTGTTTCCAAAGTACGATGAACCACATTCACACGATAATAAGGCTCGTTGGAGTATTGCAAGAGTGCAGAAGTCCGCTTTGTCTCACTCTAATCGTTTTAAAGAAGGCCTTTGACTCAACTGAGATAGAAGCAGTCACGAAGCCCTGAACAGTCAAGGAGTACCTACTTAGTATATAAAAATTTTTTGTGAGTTATACAAAGGTTTCACAACCAAGATATCATCATTCTACAACGATATTAATATTCAAAACGACGGGTTAGGCAGTGCGATACCACCTCGTCAAAATTATTTACCTCGGCCCTCGTGAACGTCATGAGAACATTGGAATAGGATAACGTGGGAGTGAAATTCGATGGCTGGCAAACACACCTTGTTCGCTTTGCTGAAATCGGTCCTATAACAAAAAGCATTTACCAGACAGAACGATTGCTTGCCGACCTTGATAATATCTGTGTAAAGATTACTCTTCGACTAAATCTCGCAAAAATGATGTTCATGAGGAACGGATTGGTTTCGTACGCCTATTCATGCTCAAGAGAACGGATATCTCCAAATACTCAATTTACGTCTATCTAGGTCGGGAAATCAACATGGTGAACAACTTAGCTCCAGAGTTCAGCAGAAGGAAACAAATGGCTTGGAAAGCTTTCAAGAGCATGGAGAATGTAGTGATGAGAAAAAAAGAACACCCGGCTCCGTGCCCACCTTTTCTACTCAACTACACTTCTTGCCTTAACGTATGCGTCAGCGTTGTCGAAGACGCAGTTGAAAGGGCGATACTATGAGTATCCCGTTTCACACAATTAGAGGATGGGATCCGAAGCTCCGAGCTATGTCAACGATCAAAAATCAAGGATGATGTTCTGTACGCCAAATAGTCGAAGGTAAGGTGGGCCGGACACGTAATGCGTTTGAATGACAACCGATGGACAGGAGCCGTTAGTGGTTGGATTCCTCGGGATGTCAAACGTACTTCAGGAAGACCACCGACCCGATGGTCAGAGTTCTTCACAAAAAGCCTTGAAGAAAGATATGATGCTCGACGAGTCCTTAGATTGAGCAGCACCCATTGGGCTACTCTTGCACCCGACAAGGAAAAATGGAAGATTTACTTGTACCCACTCATGTCACTCGTTATTCAAGCGGACTAAAGGTGATTCCGTAGATGGACTGCAAAAATACGCTGTTGTATTTCTTATTATTTCATTTCATCAACTTTTTACCATGTCCATGGCATCAGGAACTAGACACCGTATCTCCCAGGCTGTTCACTCCCAGATTGAAATTTACGCTGATCTTGCCCAACTTGAACTAAAAGCGCTCACGCAATGATGGAAAATTCCTTTCAGAAGTTCGTTTTATTGATCCTGTTGTCTTTTAAAGAGGTATCAGTAAAAAACATAATGTTCAAATGGTTTGAGAGGCGAGTACGAGGATTGAGTTCCCCAAATCAGATCACAAGGGAACCTAGTCCATGAAAAACTCATGTAACAAAGGTAAAAGGTAACAATGAAACATATCGGTTTGGATGGTTCTATAACTAGCCACATCATATTTATATCTAAGGTGTACAATGAAACCGGGAAACCCTTTGAGGAGGAGTTTTTACAGAAAAAGAAGAGCAACCAGCAGTGTTTGAATCTGTGATGGGCTGCGGACCACCTGACAAGTTCGAAATCTCGTAACACATTTTTAACTGAACCGTTTTGAAAGCTTGCTGCGGTCTAGTGTGATGTAGTATGACATCATTGGAAATATTCACCATAACGTCAAACAGGTGTTTACACATCTGCAAACGACATATGCATCATAGAACGAAACAAACCGGACGCAGTGGACTGTCATCGTTTGCTTGGGAAGAAGACGAATTAATGATGTGTTGGAGGTCCAACGATTTTTCAAGAGGTGTGATTCAAATTTCCCACGTGCACAAAGAAATTTTTATAGTTCCTAAAAAGCAAGTAGAATGATGATTTTCTAAAAAGATTAGAAGGCGAAGAAAAAAAAAGAATCGAGGTAATGGATCGTTCTTATTAAGTATTTTAATATCTTCTCCCTATGTTTCAGACGTGAAAAGCACGGTAACTCTCGTATTAACTTGTTGATGCCCTGATTTATACCACTCATAGGCGAATTTCCAGTGGTGACGGCTCACAACAAGAAAAAGCTGAATGAGGAAATTCATCAGAAGTTCGGAGGTTTCAAGGTATGCCTTCGTAAAGGGTATCCGAAAAACTAACATCACATAAAACTGTTTAATAACTAAGGAAAAACAAGGATAAAGCGTTTGGCGTTGACTAGTTAAATACTTAAAAATATCACATGCATTCGACTTCGATCGTCACATCGTATTATAGATGGTTGAATCCACGATTTGCCCATAGAATGCCTTTCGAGGCCTGCCAATGAATGAACTTAATGCCTTTATCCTCCTAAACAAGTTTGGAACCATTTTTCAAAAATGGAATAGTGGAATTAAACCACCACCAACCAAACCATAATTTTTCGCCTTACGCCTCTCGCGCTGAAAAGCTCGGCTGAAAAAAAATTTTTGTAAATTACCAAATGTAGGGAATAGGGTTTTCACGGAACATACGTGGAACATCATTCGCGTTTTACTTACTTGATACTTGACACTTGAACTGCCCGTCATCACCAGTTGTGCGGGCCCCGGCATAATCACCATTTTTCGGAGATTTGCTGGTTAAGCCATCGTGGTTTCCTGGAATCCCGAGGTCAGCCTGGCCAAAGTCTGCCCTAGGTCTTCCGCACCACAGATAGTAGCAGCCCTTGTGGATCAGAGGGGCATTTGCCATCATGCGACTTTGATACCAAGACGGTAATCGGACCTGGTATTGGCTTACTCTTCCTGATGGAAACGCCGGACTCCTCAGGTTGAGATACCCTTCCAGGAGAGTGAATTTTACGCTGTAGATCGCAGTTCGACACCCAGGAACACCTCCCAGCTACGATGAGGCGATAAACCGTTGGAAAGTATTCGTGTTTTGGATGTGCTACCGATTCTGTGTAGAGAATATAAACAAATGAGCTCATAGCGTTAAGATGAAGTCATAGTATAGGTTTCACTCAGAGCAGCTACTTATGCATCCACATCAATGCAAACTGTGCCACTTACGTGCTAAGGTTTGTTTAGAAAGGAGAGATTCTTAATTTTCCTGCCGCGAGCTGACTATGGGAATGAAAAAATACAATGCAAGATTAAAGCGATGGAAAACTTAGGACTGAGGAAAAGAAAAGGCCAGTATTTGTCGGCTGAACAATATACAGCACTTTCGATCAGAGTCGATTGCACAAAAAGCGCATCATATTGGCATTTTTTGTTTTGTTTTATGTTCTTTTCTTTCGTTTTGTAATGGTGTTTGACTTTTTAGACAATATCGATCTAGTAGATCACCAAATTTGAGGCGAAAGAGTTCGTTTGCGTGATAGTGAATCAAACAGGGTTTTCTTGAAGAGCAGAGAATTTACATGTTGTTCACAAAGAGGAAAATTTGATTAAATGGAACAGCAATGGTGCCCTTAGCATCACTTTAATGGTATTTCACATAATAATAGTCAAAAATAGCAAGCAGTAAATAAAAAGCTATACATTGTGATCTTAACTGTAGCCTCAGAATTACTGAGTTCAACGGTGAGTTGCGCCCACCAGATAATCCTCGTTTAAGGGTGAGTGCCATAGGGTGAAAACTAGCCGAGAGAAAACGAGTTTAAGGACCTCAGGGACTTCAGTGGTGGAGTAGGTAACGCGTGATTCCCTGGGAAAGAGTAATCGCGAGTTCGAATCTAGCCTCGGGTCTGAGTTTTGCAAATATCGTAGCACCATTGTGGTTCGATTTCACATAATACCCTGCTGCGAAAAGTAAAAGCCAATGAATGAGAAGTGGTGCATTGATTGTAATTATTCATTTATAACAAAGCAATCAGCATTCGTTTCTCACTTTCATTAAACTTTTTTATTTCAATTATCTGTTGTTCAGCGAAATATATTTGGCTGTAACATATGAAGTGTTCGATTTTAAATGTGAAATTTAAGTAACTACAACTTTTTTCACACCAGTTTTTATCAATTGAAATGAGCACCATTACAATTAGAAGTGATACTCGGCAGACTAGAGGTCTGATGAATATGACGGATGAGGCAAAATTTCGTAGCCCAGTTCGTTCAACTTCTGCAGCGCTGGCTTTTCTGTTGACTAATGCCGGTCGTTGTTGCTGGAGTTTGCGGTATATTTTGTCGATTTGTTGGCAATGCCTCTCTACCGTAATCGTTTTCAAAAAACTGATGAGTCAGCCCTGCTGCAGGCCACCGAACAATCAGTCTCTATAACTTTTTTGAGACAATTTTGGTTTTGGAAACGCTGTAGAGCCTAATCGCAGTCCAGCCATTGAGTTAAACGTCGCAGGTTGTCATGAAGAATTCACTTCTAGTCGCACGTCGCAATTCGACAAAGAAAAGCGTCGTTCTTGTGGCACAGAATAAGTGAGACGACACTTCAACACGGAGATTTTTTTGGTTGCCTTTTAGTTCGTGCGGCACCCACTTGTCGAGTTTTTTGTCTTTTCTCTGCGATTGAAGTGAGTGGAAATTGTTCCTGTGCTTACGCCAAGTTGTTCTGCAAGCTCTCGAACACTTGTTCGCGTGTTTGCTTCCACTAATTCGTTCAATTCGCCGTCGTCAAGTTCCTTGGGACGTTCGCAGCCTTCCTTAACTTCAAGGCCGAAATCACCAGATCGGAATGTCCTAAACCATTTTTGCATTGTTGATTCACAACACTACCTCCACACCAAACTTGATGATGTTCCGAGTTCCTGCTGCGACGTTATGTCCACTCATCCACTCGTACAAAGAACGGACACGAAATCTCAAAATATTGATTCTTGGAAAAAAGCCAATATTTTGGAAGAGCAAAGAGCAGATTTTGACCTTTAAAGACATTTTTAGACGTGGATAAGGACAAATTTGCTTCTAAAAAATTACACGGAAATTGAAACAATAAGATCGGACATTTCATAGGTACCAACCTAACAGCTCCTCTTTCCAGACCACTTTATCTTACGGTTCTATTGGCGTCTACTCTAAAATAGTAATTTCACAAGAAGTGCATAAATGTTCCTATGTCGTTGTTAAACCGTTCTTTATGTCACTTCGCTGACTTCTTTTTGTCAATGCTAAAGATGAGGCGGGAAAAAAATGCAGTAGTTCAATATTTTTAGAAATATGCGTAGAGGCTTCTATGAAGCGTTCTTATAGTTAATCAATAGAGTATGTGCAACAGTTTCCACTCTTCAATCTTTATTTTTGACACCTACTATTATTTATCTATTTGATTTTTAAACGCATCAATCAACTGAGGGTTTAATAGACTAGGTTCAATCGAAACTGACGTATATTCATGTTTCCAAGAGAAGATTACCGATAGGTTTTAACTGAATCAGAAGTCAATCAAAGCGAAAATAGCAGAGTACTTTTGAAAGTGCTAGCAAAGGAAAAGTTTTAGAAACTTAATCAGTAATTTATCTTTTCTCGTAATTACCACTAAATATATTTCAACGGGCGCGAGTGGCGCAGTGGTTAGAGGTGCTCGGAAATATATAAAGGTTCGATCCCACACCCCACGCTCACAATCCCTCCATCCTTCCGCGCTCGGCAAGTTGATACCTGTCTGGTAGGATAGCAACACTGAGTCGATGATACATCGCTAGGCTGTCGCAACTCATTGTATAGCTCAGATATGCATTCAATCACCTCTAACGATGCTTAATGAAGTCGAAAGCACGGCGCTTCCCTCAGGATTGATCAACAGCTTTATCCTTTTACCGTTTGTATTTCAATGATAGTGGATGAAAAAGGTCATCACATAATTTTATAAATCTACAGAAGTTTTGCAAGTGATAAGTCGTCGACTTAATTAAAAGTCGTAGTATGCATACTGCATTTTAATTACGTACACTCTAGGAAAATTGCTTCCCAAAGCCTTCTGGTGGGTGTAAATGTAATGTCGACTTGGGTCGCGGTGAACAAGTCGTGGAGTACTCCAATGATGCGGAATGTAAGAAAAGTATCGAAGGTTTGCGGTTTTTTTAATTTTATATTTTTTCTCGTAGCGCCTTATGAATATGTTGGCATTTTTTATCTTTTTTATACGACCCGTCTTCACATTTACTGTACGGATTCCAGCAGTTCTCACATTCAATTCGTTTTCACGCATCCATTATCCGCGAAGATCTTTCAACTTTTACGTGTGGTTTCGGGTACTGCTTGAGGATTTTCATTTCATCTCGAACCTTCTAGAATGCCAGTGGATTCGATTCTCTCTGGAGTCCTGAGATAACCGGGCTGGAGCGTTCCCAGTTGTGCTTGAGACGGTGGTACTTCTCCGGATAAGTCCGGTACCAATTTCCTGGCCACGGACGGACGAAAAGGTTTGCTGAACCTGGCGCAAGATCGAACCAGTACCGTGCTCGTGATGATCGGCATCAGCGCCACTGTGCTATTCGTCTCGTATATATTGATGAAGAAAGCAAAAATAGAATGGAACATGTTAGCAGAACCATTTGAACGGCTGTTTTAGAAAAAAGAACAATAATCTCGATGTTCGAAGGAAATAATGACAAAACTTGGCAGAAAATTCCAACTTCTTCAACCGCGACAGAAAACTGGACAAAACAACTAGGTAGACGTATTATGGGACGTTCGATTATTGTTCTTAAAAGAAGAAAAAATTGTGGACGTTTTGACCGATCTGAAGAAAGTCACACCACTAAAGCGCTTGCCACAATAACGTTAACAACCTCGTATAAGATGGATTGCGATATCTATTTGCTCACTGAACCTATAATTTTTCGAACTTTTAACTTTTAAATGTGCCCTTTGATTTCCAAGCTAACACGAGGTTAACAAAAAGACTTTACTCGGCTAACGCCTTCGCGCCTTCGTCTTCCTCAGAACCGGATGGATTGGAGCCAATTGCCCACAGTTGTTCATTTTTTTAATGTTACCTTTTATCATGTTAAAAGTTCAAAAAGATATTTGTTTTCAACTTTTTAGTCCAATATGAAATCGTATTCAGAGCAGACCGCTGAACACAAAACAGAACTGAACGAGGAGATCAAAGAGAAATTTGGAGAATTCAAGGTTTAATGATTTATACACAGCTTTTGGAACAATTAAGTTCGTAAAGGATGGAACTGTCTGAATCCCTTAATTTAGGAGAACTGCTTCCCGAAGCCGTCCGGTGGTTGTAAATGTAATGAGAAGGACGCGGAAGGTAATGAGGTGGTCACCGCCTATAACAATGTCGCCGAATGCCGAATTAGTGTTAGTTTTGCAAGCTTCAAAATTTCGTAGAAGCACACACCACTTTGTATCGTTGTGAGGTAGTACCTTCTAGTAGGTGTTTAACTTCACTGATGTTCATTAGACAGAAGCCGTCCTAATTGCGGAAATAATTCCCAGGATCGACTTTCTCTTAACCTCGGCATTGGAATATGAATGTGTCGTTTTCTTGTTCGGCAATCGCGAGGTTTTTAAACAGCATACATTTACTTTCATAAAAACGCAATACAGTACAACGCTAGCTGACGTTTCGGCAGTATCGCCTCCTTCAGAGCCGCTTTTTCGTGACTTCCAATGAAGAAGTTTAGAACAGCTGATTATAGTCGCATGTGGTTGACGACTGACGACTGTGCGGAAATAATGTTTCTTCCTTCTGAAAGAGGAGCTTAAAACAGTTCCAGAAGCTAGTCTTGTTTCTACAAATCATTTTCGTAGCCAATAGACAACGGACAACGGTATCCCAAAGATTTCTGTAACTATGGACGTGGACAAGGTCTGGAACAATTGTAATTGCGAACCAGTCCATATACGAGAGGATCAGTGCTTGATGCACTTATGTAAAGATATTTTTATCATATCTTTTCGGTGGCAATCACTAAAGTATCTGTCTGTTGTTCGCGCCAGGGGTACCCAGTGAGTCTGCTACCAAGCAGAATCATCACTTTAGTATGGGACTTTTTCAAAAACTATTTTTAGGAAAAGTTTGCAATGAGTACTTATCACGCTTTGCTCTAATAGGCCCCGAAATTTAAGGCTGTAGGTAGTCATGTAACTCCTGTTCACATTTATTCTTACAGGCTTTCAAACGAATAGGTGTGCAAGAAACGCGTTGTGTAGATTTGGCCAAAATGCAAATAGCACTGACGTTCTTTCAAATATGTAGATTATTCCTATGACAGTACTATGTGAACGTCTGACCAATTCAAAAGTTATGATGGCCGGACTCTATCTCCCAGATGGAACACCCATTTCATCGACAGGGGTGATGAATAATGATAATCACGACTTTCTAGTCCACTCCTTAGAGAATACCGTCTTCCTCCTGTCATGCATATTAGGGAGAATGAGCGTAACTCCCAAGTCCGACTTTCTATTAACCTCGGCATTGATTGAATATATCTTTCTACTTCTGTTCAGCAAACACGAGGTGCTATTTTATTTCTTTATTTACGCACAAGCTGACGTTTCGGCGGATTTTGCCTTCCTCAGAGCCTGGAAAGGTCGAGATGACAGCAATCCACTCGGCCAAACACCTCCATAACCAAACAGAGAAAACGCCAAACCAAGATTTCAGTCACATTTAGCATAACTCTGCACACTCACCGCTTTCTATGAGTCTTTCACTGAGTATGTCGCGTGAAGACCGACCGCACAGAATTCACATGGAAGCGTAATGTGTCCCTCCCATCAGAATAACAGGTTTATATACTGTCCAATATCACGCGTGATATCGAGGCATTCCTCCCTGCGGTTCATTTTCGGATTCTTGATATTAATCCAGAATGCCTCTAGAGTTTTGCGCGCTTGTGTTCTCGATTCTTGCGCGAGGATCGTAACCCTTACTTCAAAATCTTCTCCGTTATGTTTCTGCGTGCTATGCGTACCTAGTGGAGTACTTAGCTTACGTTTGCCGACTAGGTGTTCTTTTATACGCACGCAGAGTGGTCTACCCGTTTCGCCAACGTATTCGTCTTCGCACGCTTTACAAGAGATGTACCCGAACTCATACAGTCACCATCTATGCCACTGGTGCAAATTATGCAATTTTGCGTTGCACATAGACGGTCGTATAGGCGGTTACGAACTAGCTGGCGCCTTAGATTACTCGGTGGTATTTCGATTATCGTTACCGAATTCTCTAGACCCGCCCTTCTTAAGCAGTGTTTTACAACTGCACTTACTTCATTTGAAATGAAAGGCAGAATAGACGGCACCTTGTTGTCGCTAGAGTTACCGTTGGAGTACCTGTGGTTTCCTCTACACCTATCTCGAGCTACGGTTTCGTAGCCATTAAAAATGGCTATTTGCCGCTCCAAGTTCCGGGACTCCTCTCTCTGTTGTCTTCCCGTGCACACGCTGATAGCTGTTCGATACATGTTTCTCACAAGCGCCCTTTTCGTGTGAGAGGGATGAGAGGAGAGGAACTAGGATGTTTTTATTACTTGTCTTGGCTTTCGATACCATCAGAATGAGCGTATTTAAAATTTCTGAGTCAACAGCATACTAGCTTGTCGCATTATTTCAAAATAAGGTATGCATGATAATACCCACTATGTCCGGTCTCTTTTCGTATTTAAACTAGAGTCACTCACAGCAGGACTAGCAGTATATTGATAGACGAACGGTCATACCATTGAACGTTCTGGTAACTATTGTCAAGATTGTCAAGATAGGCGAAACGAACGACTCGCATTGTGTGGTGGTGAACGCGTGAACCCCTGGAAAGGTAATAGTCCGTTCGGTCCCCACCGCAGACACTACTGGTCTGGAGTTTTGCAAATATCTCAGCAACGATACTGTTAAGGTTGTTGAAGTATCGCGACAATACGAAACACTGTCTTTTTATTTTCATCTATTTGAAGAAGGTTTGTATTCTTTTGAGACAAAAGCGTCGATTTCGTAAATTCATTTTTCTACTGCGCGGTTCCTGCAATAAGCTAACACACTATCGTTAACACACACTTAACACATCGTTGTGTGTTGATCGTTAGCGTTGTTAACACACGCTATCGTTAACACACTAATTAAGCGCGACACATACGTGGAATGGATCTCTGCGCCCATGGTCCACCAAGCCTTCCATCCCTCTGGCGTTGGCAAATTGGTACCAGACTTGTCTGGAAGGATAGCAGAGCTGGCTCGATACATCGCTAGGCCACTGCGAGCCCTTGTAATTCTTCAGAGCATCCCTCATAGGTTGATCAACGCCGCGACCTTTACCCTTTTTATCCTTATCGAGGATGTGATGCATGGGACATTCGCCATATATGTGAGAGAGAAAATGTGACGAGCTACTTTATCAAGTTACTGTTGCATATAGTAAAATGTGATGTCACAAGCCAGTTGTCTATCACAAACGATATGCTTTCTTGAGAACCGATGAACAGGAAGTGTTCGTCACAGGATGTCAAGCACGAAACAGGAAAATCACCTGATCAAGTATTTTCAAGAAACCTGTACAAGCAATAAAATCCTATTCTCGTCTTTTGAGCTTTCATAGCCTAACTTTGTGAAAAACCTGTAAGTTCATAGGGATAGATATACCCTCTCCTTACAATCATTCTAATCACACTACGAACATTGGGAATACAAGTAATATAGTTGGTAAGTGCATAAGGCAAAAGTAAATATAAGCTGAAAGCTCATTTACTAAATCGCTACATGAGTGCTCATGGTTTTCGTATAACGTCCTACTAAAGCGTCTTATAACCCTTGCCTCTAATGAGCTCGTGATTTATTAAGTGGGGATAATCTTTGAACATAAAAAGGTTAGCATAGTTAAAAGTCTTATGATGTACTGTTGTTGTAAAAAGGATAAACATGACTTACTCTGTGGAGTTTGTTGGAAATTCTTCCATCAGACCAGAGTTTACATCATTACCGTACATTACGGTCAAAATTACACCGAAGCTTTACTGACTAGTAATGTCAACTTCAGCGTGTGAAGCGTGACGTTGGAGTCGCAACACAGCGTCAACCAGTGAACACTAACGTGTATCAGCAAAAAGTTCGTGGCCGTGATCCTCCAAGCCAAAACGTTCGCGACCCTGTGAGGTGAATAGCTCTCTCTCTCTGTTGACTCATTAAATAACGTCTATGAGTAATTTCTTTATTTTAGAGAACGAGCTCAAGAAAATTATAGAGCGGTACTTAACGAACTCAACATGAAATTTAAGGGTCTTAAGGAGGGCTGTTTCCCACGTCCTAAAGGTGAGATTCACCGTAATACAAGTAGCACTTACATTTTTTGGATATTATTCCGGAATTTCGATCTTCAGGATGCCTTTGTGTGATCGGCAAGACCGCTGAAGGTCGAGACATTACCGAGCGTCGTATGAAAGACAGTGATTGTAAGTGCAAAGAAGGTGAAAGAGGTCCAGGTTGCCCTGCGGGATAAGCGTGCGTGATGTCTTTGCCATCAGTGGGCTGTGGACAAATTTGAAAAGCTGTGCCACACTTTATGCTTTAATTGTTAATACCTTTGTCTGTCCAGTTACCATATTACTGATAAATGGATGTATTTTGATTACCTTTGGCTGATGAAATGTTTGTAAAATATGAAATAAAATTTTCCATGAAGAAAGCTGGCTTTACGCAATTGGGGCCTGATTCTAATGAAGTGCAAAGGACAAAAAAAGGCTTCTCAGGCTTCAAAGGTCATAATTTCAACTTTATAGAGTACTAGAAATTAAACCTTGTAACAGGTAGCCTATATATTCTAACAGACTTTATTACAACTATTAAAGTTCGATGTGAGCTGAAATATTAAGGTTTTATTCTAACGACCAGCATTATCTTAACCTCGGCATTGATCAATAACTTCCTATTTTCTTGATATAACACGAGAAGTTCTTACTGTATTCTTTATTCACAAGAACTGACCTTTCAACTCCTTTGGTCTCATTCAGAGCCCACAAAGGACAAGTTGACGACAATCGAGTCAATCAAATACCTCAATAATCTGTGCAGGTTCATGAAACCTGTTTGGCTTTCAATCGCATTTGGAACTAAATAGCTTCTTCGCACCATTACCGCTTTCTCGGAGTTTTCCACTGAGTATTCCCCGTGGAGACGAACCGCGCAGAGTTCACTTGAATGGATACTACGCCTCTCTCACATTAAAATATAACAACAGTCTGAGATATGGTGTGAGATCACGTGTGATTACCAGACATTCCTCCTTGTGGTTTATTTCTGAATTTTTAGTATTGTACTTCCAAATCATCCTAACCTTTATTTTAAACGAGATAGGTTCAGCTATAAAACAGTAATTAAGAAAATCTTGAAAAAAAGAAGAAGAAGAAAAAAAAAAGAAAAAAAAGAAGAAGAAAAAGAAGAAAAAAGAAGAAGAAGAAAAAGAAGAAGAAGAAAAAAGAAGAAGAAGAAAAAAGAAGAAAAAGAAGAAAAAAAAGAAGAAGAAAGAGATGAAGAAAAAGAAGAAAAAAGGAGGAAAACCTGGTTTAAAGAATTCGGTAACAGTTGTTCGAATACTATTGAACACTCTCAGATGCCAGCTTATTTGTAACCGCCTATATGGCTGTACACAACGCAACACCGCATAATTCGCCCTAACAGTAGAAACGGTGACTATCAAAGAACATCTAGTCGGCAATTGTAAGGTTTAAGAATATACCCACTGCGAGCGCATATAGGAGAAAAAACATAACGGATAGGTTTTTGAGGTAGAATTGACCGTCTTCGCACAGGAACGGAAAGTTTTTGCGCGCAAAACTCTCTAAACCTTCTGGATAAATTCGAAGAATCCAAAGGTTAAGCCCAAGAAGAATTAAGTTATCAAGCATGATTTAGCAAAATATCTCACACTGGTATTTTAGCGTGGGAGAGGCGCATTATCAATCCATGTGAACTCTGTGCACTTTAACCACACGTTGGTGCTCAGTGGGAGACTCATAGACGGCGGTGAGCGTATGAATAACAAGTTGCTATTCAACTGCAATTCAAATCTGGATATCTTGTTAATTTCTACTGAGGTTATTTGACTGTTTGATCGACTAGCTTGCAATTAACTTGATCTCTCCAGACTCTAAACAAGTCGAAATCCACCGGTACTTCAGCGTTCATGGTTAAAAAAAATAGTGTATAATGCTGAGATATTTGCAAAACACCGGACCGCAGGTGTATGCGGTGGGGAACGAACGCGCGCTATTGTCCTTTCCGGGTAGTAACGCGTTCACCACCAGACCATGCGGGTCCTTCGTTTCGTCTGACTCTCAGCTAGTTCTATCGATCTTTTAACATCAGCAATCACCCGTCAGCGGAATTGATCTGGGGAGCCCAAATCGGCAACGAACCCAGTTAAGCTGAGGCTGCAGTTATATTCACAATTTTAACTTATTATTTACTGCCTACTCTTAATATAGTTTGATGAAGATAATTGTGCAAAGTGGAGCAGTGGTCGAAAGTGTCCTGCAACACACACATAGGATCGGTCGCTGCACCAGTAAATTACCAAGCCTTCCATCCCTCCAGGATCAGCAAATTAGTACCAGACTTGTCTGAGACGATAGCAGCACTAGCTCGATACATCGGTAGTTGGCCTCGAGCCATTGTAAAAACCAGTTGTGCATTCAATCACCTCCGACGATGCTTAATGAAGTCAAATTCATGGCGCATGCCCAGGGATTAATCAAGGCCGACAGCTTTACCCTTTATTTTAAGCGTGGCCATGGTGCTTTCAGATATCCATTGTCATACCTTTTTAATTGATCAATGCCGAAAGCTTTTCTTAATTAAGAAAAATCTTTGGGGCTTTTTTTTAATCGTGCAAGACTTTTCTCGTCGCCTCATCTCGACGAAATTAAGTGCTATTTGCGAAGACAACTTTTGACATGGTACTATTAACGATCTCCATAAATATGGCACCTTGTCAATGAGTTATCCGTGCCCTAGTAGCTACCGCATTTTTTTCATTATATCATGTTTTTCTTAAATATTCTGTTCTAACAGAGTTTAGCATATAGAATTTGATTGATGAACAAGGCTTAAAACACAAAAAATTAATGCGCCTGACCAACAGGCAATCCTGCCATAAATCATCGAGCAACAGAAAACACAGCCGTGAATTCCCTCTGCCCTACGGCCTCCGAGACTTCGCGCACAACAAAAGACAATCAATCGGACAATTATGAGGGAATTTAGCGAAACTACGTTCATATGTGCATTTTCTATGCTTTAAAGCTTTCCTTTTTTCAAAATCTGAGTTGGAGTTTGGCACACTATCCTGTTCTCAACCAGCGTGTTGCCGAATGGAAGGAGACGTTGATGTCCTTGGAAAATTCTGGCTTCAAAGTAGCAATTCTCTTCTTGCCTTGACGGATACACCTGATGACTGTCTTTGGTGAAGACTTGTTACCGTGCTTACTTAGGGCAAATCACGTGATTTAAATAGATGGCCATGCCTTTAGATAGCATGATTTTTTGATTTCTAACTTATTTCCACCTTTTTTTTTAAACGATGATTCAATATCCAATCGCTTACCACATGGTGAAAATTGGGGATTATGTTGCAGTAGTCACATTGAAGGATTATGCTGTACCGCCAGTTTCGTCAGTGAATGAACGATCTATTGCTGATACAACAAATTTCAGTGTGAAGACCTGACTAATAACTAGAAACAAGAGAATAGAAGGGGTCTGAGAGCAAAAATTCGCGCTGACATCGGACTAAAGTGAATCAACGGCGAGCAGCTCAACAAATGCTGGAAAATTCAATAGTTTGTCTTTTCAAAGCGACTTTTGTTTGAGCCCTTTACCAGGATAATTTTTCATCGACAAGCCAATACTAAGGTATAAAAGGTTCATTCGGCTAACCTTTTGGCCCCTTCGTCTTCCTCCATGCAGTAATGATTCGAGTCGATTGTGCCTATCCGTTCGTCCTTGCCATGTAAGTGGCTTTTTATGGTTGCATCGAGTTGAATATTGTTGGATGAAGCACCTCTTGAATAAAACTCAACAGTCAGTGGGTGAGTTAGCAGTTCGTATGAGAGATTTTTTCCGTTATTTAAATTGGCAGTGGAAAAATAGAAAGCTCCATGAGTAGATTCTGCAGAATTTCGCTGCTGGCAAGAAACCATGCTGTAAAGAAGTTTGCAACTCTCTATCTCTTAGAAATTTTGAGAAGCTTTCATGGATTAAGTTACCATTTACTAATGGAAACGAATGTTATACGGTATTGTAGCCAATACGACACAGCTTGCCTCGTGTAGAGCAGCCCGGACGCTCCAACCCCTCCATCCTCAACGTTCAACAAATTGTAGTGAACTGGTGATGAACCGAAAGTGGTTTTGTTGGCTAAATATGCAATCGACTCAGTCTACGACGCCTGATGAAGTGTAGTGCACGAAATGATTTGCACGGAATAACAGAGAGAGTGCATCGCTTATCTCTCAGCTATTTCCATTGATCTTTGCCACAGCAATCACCCGTCAGCGGGATTGATCTGGGGCGCCCAAATCGGAATAGAACCCAGTTAAGCTGCGGCTGTAGTTGAAATCACAATGTTATACCTTTTTAATTTTCTGCTTACTATAATTTCGCGGCAGGGTACTAAACGAAATGCAACCACAACGTTGCTGAGATATTTGCAAAACTCTGAACCGCAGGTGTCTATGGTGTATTATCTCTTATTTTTTTAATCGACGACGTTCAACACAATGTTTGCCAATTAAGAGCTGTTACAAATTCTTAGGCCAAGTCAGACCACACAGTAGACAACGACGTTGACCATTACGTCGTACTTCGAACGTTCCACTATTACAGTTTAAAAATTGTTGGTAGTGCGAGAAAAAAGATATTTTGTGGAAGTAGAATAGAAAGTTAGAATCACTGCAGACACCTTCATAGTTAAACTAAAGACCAGCTATTTCTGACGCACGACAACGCGCTCCTGCATAAAACTACCTTTTCATATTTTTATTAGACAGCCTATGATCCTGAAGGTATGCGAAGGAGAGCATCGCCTCATTCACCATCTTATCTTCTGCCACTTCGGTATCATTTGTCACTGAGTCCCAAGAAATCAAAAACCAAGATAGCCGAAAAAAGAGGCGCGTTAAAGAATCATATTGCACTATCGTACACCTTATACTGAAGAATCAATCATATAGAGTGGATAAAAGATGAAACATTTGGCGTTGATTTAGCCATAAAGATGCACCGTACATTATCCGCCATTCATAGCATTATAGAAGTGAATCAATTTACGTTTATCATCTATAGTGACTCGAGGTAGCTTGCCACTGTATTTCATCTGTAGCTTTTATCCTAACAATGTCTGGCGAATTCATTTTTCGACTCTGGAGAAAGAAAAGATTAAGTTTGCACTAAAGGCGAGATTGAATCAGCGACCACCTGTTCTGCACTAAACATTAAACTACTGCTCTTCTTGCTTCACGTTACATACAAAAGTGATTTATCATAGGAGCATTCAATAGAACACCGCAATTTTCCAGCGAAGTCTAAACGGCCGCTTAAACCAGATTTTTCTTAACTGAATTAATCTGAGAATCTTTGCCTTTTCACCTTATAAAAGGTGAAGACACGAGCGAAGAACGATGAAGCGTTATAAATTTACTACTGTAAGCCTCCTTTTTATGATGGGTTACTGTCTTTGTGTCATTTCACTGCGCTAATTTATCCCATGAATGCACCTCCCACTCACAACAATCATCAGAATTTGATAAAAAAAAAAACATAACGCTTTCGGCGCTGATCAATCTCCGAGGGACGCGCCATGCACTCGACTTCATTAGACGCTTCTGAGGGTGATTGAATGCATATCTAGCCTTTTACAATGACTAGCGGTGGCCTACCGATGTATCGAGCCAGTGCTGCTATCCTTCCAGACAAGTTTGGTACCAATTTTCCGACCCCGGACGGATAGAAGGCTTGGTAGGCCGTGGAAAATTGGAAAGATTCCATGCGTGTGTTGCAGGGCCCCTCCAAGCACAGACGCCCTTAAAATTTAATGCGAACAAATATTTGATATGAACATTCCGATACTTGGCTTTAGTATTACGAGATTCATAATATTAACTAAAACGGCAAACCTTGACAGGTGGGGGATTTTTTGGCGATTCTTCTTGGCTAGATATTTAAATCGATTTGGCTTTATTAAATTCATTTAATTCGCCTTCGTTTTTCACATTCAAACGATTTTAGATCGGATGGTGTTAGTGATATTGTTCACTACTGGCCATTACTGGTTCGTCACCACAGCATGCGAACCAAGCCACCATCTCTCAGGCGTCGAAAAAGTCAGTAATGCAAATGCAAATGAGAACACAAGCACGAATTACCGCACTATTTTGATTTAGGTAATTAGTAGCTTACTAACACGTTGTGGTCGCTTAGAAGTTAGGTTTATAGGTATCAAACTGAGACCTTGTAAACAAACTCTCAACGTTTTCTTCTGTGACAAGGAAGTTTACGAATTCACCATTCATTAGCTAAGCAAAAAGTAAATTCCGGTGGCAAAGCTCAGTGAGCCATCGTTGGCTACCTTTTCCTTTTAAAGGTAACAGAAATAGAGCATCTTACACCGAAAATTTGAGATTTCTCGCCTTTCTTGGATGAGCTAATCCAATGAATCGCTCTCCCTCGCGATGTATTCGAAGACGAGGTCTTGATTGTGGTTATCGGCCTATTTTATGACTAACGAGATTTCAACTGATACAGATAGCACGGGTAATAAGTGTCAGGGATTCAGGAACCAGGTGTGTCATGGCTATGAAAAAATTGACAAACAGAAACCAAAAAAAACAGCGCTAAATCAACGTGTTTATTTCTTCAATGGAATCTTGTCTGATGTGCTTCTCGTAGTCATTGAAGCCATCTCCATTTGCGATATGGACTACGTGGCTCTTCCACGGGCGGCTCGTACACCGGAGCCGGTGGAGCTGGCTAAAAAATCATTCGATTACGAATTCTAAGATCTAATCTTTTCTGCTGAACACATTAGATAATACTGATATTGGGTAATGGACGAAAGGCTTCGTTTTTTCGAAAGCAAATATGATCAGCAAGCCAGTCTGAAGTCGAACATCAGGCTGTCAAGATTTGGCATAGTATGCGGTGCCTTCAGTTGCTTAGCAGCCTTGTACTGCATCATCTCTTTCAATGATTTATAACCTCATCACGGTAATAGACTTTACAAAGTCGTAATATATAGCCGAGGGTTCGAAATGTTCAGTATGTTTATTGCCGACCCGTTTTGGAGGTATATGCCAGGAATCAGCGCCGCTTAAAAAAAAGCTTACTCGTAAGCGAGAGTATTTCCTTTGACAAGCAAAAACTAGCAACTTACTGCCTTAAGACGCTTGTCCTGGGAGTGTATGGAAGAAGTCTAGTCCGACTACGAAGTTCCAATAAAATGGAAAATGTGCACAGGTCCGCGCGATTTTTCAAAAAGCGCATCAAGTAACTAAGTATATAAATGGTAGCATGGACGCAAAAGCCGTAATTTTGTGCCACCCTTTGTAATGTTGTAGTCTGCAGGAGATAAAGAAGGTACACCAAAAAAACACGTCTTGCACTATTAGGGCTGCTCGCTGAGATTTCGATTTCATTTCGTCTTTTTAAAACCGTCTTTGTACCCATCCGATGGCACTAATATCTATAATGGAATATTTGTCCCAGGAAGCTAAAATATTTTCAAAAACAACATCGAGGTTTTAGATCTGCAGAGAATCTCTGGCCCAAACTTTGATACACAAGCACCTAAGAATACTATCCCTAGCTAAGTCATTCCATACAACTCCCACTTGTTCAAATATTTTTTGGATCAAAAATGTATTTTAAATACTTTCGCAGGTCTAGTGCATCCTTTGGCTGCTCTGTTTACTAAATATCCTCGCATTATAAAAATTTATTAGAAGAGCCTCGACCAGCCGAGATAATATGCTATTTCATTCAAAACGAAGCGCTCTGATGATAATTTTAGCAGCAGCAATTGTCGAATGCACCACCCAAAGAAAGTTTTGCTCCCTTTTTATTCTTAGGTTTCGAAGATTTTTAAAGATTATATGGAATCGAAGTGGAACGCCTTACACGAGATGGTGCTGCCGTTTTGTACGCTGACGGTTGTGCGACCGTAGGCCTTACTTTGTTAACACCAAGACTTCGTTCTGGACACTTGCAGTAGGATCCATCCGGTCCGGGCTGTCCTGAAAGCTGCATAATTTTAGAAACGATTGCCAATTTAAAAAAGACGGATATAGAATGCTTTATGTCTTTTTGAGGAGTTTCGAAACTACTAGTTACTAAGGTATATGGCATGTCCTCAGATGGAATGAGCTGGGGGTGAGACGGGAAGTATGTACTTGCTATGAGACAGAATCAGAAAGTGAGCTTTTCGTCTAAACTGATCAGGCCTAAGAAATAACTCTTATGAAAATAATGGAAATGGCCTGTTTGACATATAGTACCCCTCGCGTTAATTTGCCTAACAAACTTCAATCAAGAGAATAAGAAATAAGTAAGAACTCCACATGAAAGGAACTAAGTAGATCTAATTAGGAACTCGTTTCAAGTAACCTGATGTAAGTAATATATATATTCTCGCAAGAAATGGTAAACTACTCGCCTGCATTTGCTCTGAAAACAATAAATACAAGGAACTTAGGACGCGTGTAGCGCAGTGGTCGGAGGTTCCCTGCAACACACAGGTGGAATCGATCCTCGCGCTCATGGCCCCCCAAGTCTTCCATCCCTCCGGGGTCGGAAAATTGGTACTAAGCTTGCCTGCTAGGATAGCATTATTGGCTCGATACATCGCTAGGCCACCGCGAGTGTGTAAAGGCCAGATATGCATTCAATCACCTCCAACGACGCTTAATGGCGTCGAATGCACGGCGCATCCTTCAGGGATTGATCAGAGCCGAGAGCTTTATCCTTTATACTTTATAAGAGATTCAAGCCTTTTAAAGTCAAAACATTCACAATGAGATAGCATGGCAAAATTTGAAAGAAATACAGTGACAACAGTTTGATTGTGAATGCAAATTTTTCCTAAATAACTAACAAGTAAAGCAGTGTTCAGCGCTCACTGCATCGTACTACCTATCGGAGTGTTGTTCCTCGTGACCATTACCCAAACAACTCTTACTAATACTGACAGAATACTAGATGAAAAAAGTTTAAGCGAGCCAAATAGTTTTCGGAAATGGATCACAATGGAGCACCAGCTCAACATGATGACAAAACTCATTGAAGGAAGTATAGTGAGAGTATGGGATGTCGGAGTCCAACTTTCATCAGCTTGTAAATGCCTTCACTTTTTTGGATGCGCAGGAATCCATACCCTCATTTTCGAATCTACGTAAGCACTGCAAAAGTGTGGTAGGATGCATCAAACGTGTAGTTGCATTGGCGATGTTAGAAGTATGTTCAACACTCAAACAAGGAGAGGTCTTGCGTGTCAAATTACTCGATGATTAAAACCAGAGATGGAGTTGCATACGTCAAGAATTTAAAAGCGAAGTGAGCAGAACAGAGCAACCATTAAAGTGAGTCATTAGCAAGTGACATACAACGAAGCGTCTAGAGCACCAAGAACGGCTCTATAACGCAGTAGTGAAACACTGCATAGAATATGTCTTGGAAGAGTAATAAAATACTGTAGACTAACTATCCCATAGAAGAACAAATACACTTTTTTTTCTACTCCTGAAGAAAGCAGAACCCAGCAAAGAAGTCGACCTTGTGGTAGAGAAGAAAATTTTAATAGCATCGGTTCGATTGATTCGAGGATCAGCGGGAGAACAGATGATAGAGAAGACGGGTGACGAATAAGAACCAGTTGATGGCGGCAATTATAAATTGCGTTATGAATGAAATGGGACGTACGTTTGGAAAGAAGTGTATTAAAAAACTAGTTAAATCATCAGTAGCCTTAGAGGCTAACACCTTTTATTAAAACAAACAAATTGAGGAGACATACCAGGAGCTCCAGCTATACCTTGTTGACCCTGCTCTCCAGGCATTCCCATTTGCCCAGGTGGTCCAGATGGCCCAGCCTCACCTGAAAACAAATGGCTTACACCTATTTTGGATGCATTCACGTTAGAGTTTCGAAGAAATTCTTCCATGTTTTTATTTTCGTTAAACTTTCTTGATAGATGCCTCTCCAGGTGTTTATTTGTCTACTGTGGTTCTTAAAATTTTTCTTGGTTTTAAGTCTGCTACTCAGTCTTTAACCATAGAGTTTTTATGAATACATATTATTTTGTGAAAGTGTTTTCTCATCCACCTCCACGTTTACCCGCTATTACTTACACTTTTCCATTTAACACTCTTACCGTCGTTTCCACGTTGTCCGTCTCGTCCCGGATATCCAGCTGGACCTTTCTGTCCTTGGGGTCCAGGATCCCCTTTCTCTCCGACAGGTCCTTTAACGCCACGCGTACCGTCTCTACCAGGAGCACCCGGGTCTCCAACTCGTCCTGGTTTGCCGCTTTCTCCAGGAATTCCAGGCTGACCTTAAGCGTTTCATCTTTCCACAAAATGTTAGGAAGTGTAAAGAGGCGAAATGATGGTTTTCGTACCAGGATATCCTTCCCTTCCTGTTTCGCCATTTCGACCAGGATTTCCTGGCATTCCATCGTCTCCCGTCACTCCAGGCTGACCTGGAGGTCCTGGAGGGCCACGTGGCCCAGGAGGGCAAACTCGACAGCCTTGCTCCTGAAAATCTGATTTTAGAGACTTACCTAAATTTGCATCAGCAAAAGAAAAAACGTTCCATATCTTAATAGATTTTTATGTGATTAGAAAAATAGTGATTGCGAGTGTATCGGGATTAATTATATTACAACTAAATGGTTTTACGATCGACAATGCTCCTCTAAAAAAGGGATCAACGAGTTAAAGAAAATCTCATCTAAAATTTGGACCACACTTTTACTGCTTACCTTAGTTATAATTCTTAAAAAATGCACTATCATAGAGTTTCTTATATTTTTTTTCCGTTTCTTACCGCATTGATTGTGACAGGAGGGGCAATTCCAGACAGTCCGGGCGCTCCAGGCTTGCCAGGACTACCCGGTTCACCGTCTGCTCCCTAAAGAAGAAATCACTATGAACCGCACCATAGAAAATTTAGAATCTCAAATTTGATAGGCTTTCAGCACTTTTTTAATTTCACAAAACAGGAGAATGATTAATAAGGCTTGCTCACAGGTCTTCCAGGTTGCCCAGGTGGTCCAGGAGGACATTGATTGTATGCTTGACAGTCTTAAGAAACATTCTCAAGTTCAAAAACATTTAGCAAGAAAAGTGGGAAATGTTGTACTGAATTTTTTAAGAATACATACCACAAGTTGGATTCGCTTCGACGAAGGCTTCTGGTTTCGTATACGACGAGTGCAGGGCATATGTTCTCTTCGGAGAGCCAGCGTAAGCCTGTATAATAAGAAAATCCATCCCCAAGCTCCAGAAAGTCATTCATTTCGCAGGTCCTTGCGGGGTTATTTATAGTACGGCAAAGCAAAAAAATGTAAGAAAAATGAAGAGATTAAAAGGATGAAAGGAACAGTAATGAAAAGTGTGGATTTCAAATTTTTGACGAAATAGTTCTACCATTTTTGGCTGAATGAACTATCGTCGAAGCAGTAATGTAGTAAATCAAGGCCTATCCACTCTATTGATCTATGAAAAACCTAATTGAAGAAGTTCTGTCGTTCTTTCCACCGACAAAGCCAACTACTTTGCTCGAAATAAATGTGATTAAAGACGCATGCAAGCATAGTTGTTAGAGATGCTTTGCAATAGAGATTGGTTTATGGGTTCGATCCGCGCTCCGCGCTAGTGAAGCCCTAGGTCTCCCTACCACCCAGGAGGGCGGAATTGACATTATGCTTGTCTGAAGTAACGAAAATATTAGTTTGATAAATCAGTAGGCCACCTCAAGTTGATATATGTGAGTTAGATATTCCACCAATTCAATACTTGATGAATTTGCTAAAAAATTCCCAGTGATTCCGACTGATGCCGAAAATCTTGCACTTTTCCTTATCCTTTCGAATCCTATTAAATAGAAAACATTCCAATAACTTGAAATTCCTTCTTTATTTGTTTCTTTGTACTTTTAGAAGATTTTCTTGATGACAGAATGCCAGATTTGGTGTTGAGACGTTGGTAGTTCGCCAGATCGAAAGGAACTCGCTCACTTACTATCTTTTCATCTATCCTATCGCATTTGGATTCTTTACCGGCCGACACCGCCCCTCTACGAAAAAACCTAGCACCTAAAATAATTCCAGCCAACTCTTTTTCATAAATTCAGCTCTATTAAAAGGCCAAGACTAAAAGGAATATTTTTGAATGAAAATAAAGACCTTTACTTGAATAAGTCTTATGGTCACACAGATTTCAAATACATCATTAATAAAAAATGAAAGATAAAAATGTTCCACGCATCTTGTCTAGGAATCCCATTAAGATTTTCTCAAGGAATTACCTGTCTTCTGAGACGTCCTACGTCAGTCGTTCGTGCTTTTGAAAGCTCATCCCACGTTAGATCGGCCATTACACGAAATTCATCAGAGTCGATGCGTAGCTTGAAAAAAAGCCGGTCATGACCAATCAATAACGATATATACATGTATATATATATGTAAGCATATATATATATGATGCTCATATATATTCTACATTCTCCCATATATTCCCCACTTAGCGCTCGCATTATCACTCAAATACAACAATGGGAAAGATACTTCTATTAAAAATTTCATTCCGTGATAAATGAATCCAGAAAAGGGGTTAAACAAAGATTACCATTTTCGACTTGAAAAATAGAGAAAGGATGACGCAAGAAGGATGTTTCGTGCATTGGTATCACTTCATATGAAGTCCCAACGTGAAAAATGTAATGTGAGCTTTAGCATTGTTCAAGAAACCGATTCGAACTACAGTAAGAATTAAAAAAACCATACCGTGGCTCTTTTTTGTAAAGAAGCACGAGAATAATTGACTGCCTAGAACACCCAAGTGGGCCAGTGGTTTGTTGCTGCGGACACGGATTTATAAAATTTCACTAAAGTGACTTCCTCTTAACCTTACCGTAAATAATCATTTCATTTATTCGGTTGTTCTGCTTACAAGAGGGTGCCACAAAACGCTTTCAAAAAGGCGAAAGCTTCGAAGCATAAGCTGAATAAACATCCTATAAAAGCAACTATGTACCTGATCATTGATTGTTTGAATTTTCATCACTAATGCCGGAACATAGAAAAGACAGATGAGCAGCGCTCCTGTCGAACATGCGCATGCCACAACACCGGCGTTGCGAGCGGAGAGCATCTGAAGCTCGACAACAACATATGGAGATCGACTAATAGTAGAATTCACGAAAATCAACTGAACGAAGTGAGACCACCATCGGCTTTAAGAGGATGCTCAAAATTGTTATATTTCTAAAGTTCTGGAGGGAGTGCAATAAAATTTCACATAAAGGACACAACAATATTCTTAAAGGAGGCGTAGACTTCTCCTTTTCGGATCAAAATAACTAATATTAGAAAAAAATTAACACTACTGGTCTCGACTGGGATTACTTGGTGGGAAACAGGGCTACAAGAGACAACACTGATGGTCGTTTTCAAAAGACCATCGAAAAAGTGCAGAAGGCAGTTGAAAATTGTTGTTCACAAGGATTTTTTGAGAGTTTCTCCTTCAGGGTGCATCGTATGAATTCCATTGTAGAAGGATATGGTAGTAGGTTCCCTTCGGGACGAAATAGCAAGAGACCTTTCAAATAGAAGCTTTTCACGAATCTTGAAGGACAAAGACGCGAAACAATGTTTTATTTTAGCAGCGAGCAAACTACTGCAATAAAGGATAAAGGATAAAGCTCTCGGCGTTGATCAAACCCTCAGACATGCATTTGACGTGCATTTAACCTCATTAAGCTTTTTTTGGAGGTGACTGAAAGCATATCTGGCTTCTACAATGACTCGTGGTGACCTATCGATGTATCAAGCCAATGCTGCTATCCTCCCATGCAAGTCTGGTACCAACTTGCCGACTCCAGAGAGATGCAAGGCTTCTCAGGCCGGGGGCGAACAGATCGATTCCACGTGTGTTGCAGTGCGCATACGAGACCACTGCGCCACACGCGCCACTACTGGAATAAGTTCGAAAACATAAGCGCTTTTTTAATGCGATAGGTTGAAACAAGTAATCTGTGGCAAATTTTTTATCGCGTGAAAATACTCATATTCTGTTCCAAAGTGTGTGCCTAATGTATTTTAAAAAAGAATTACATGAAGTGTTGTCGGTTATTTCATTTCTTGAAGTCTTGCGAAAATAGCACTTCTAATTCAAGAGAAATTCCTCATATATTCAGCGGTTGAAGGACCTTAAACACTTCGACACTTGAATGGCCCGTCTACAGGGGTGGCCTCAGCATAGTTTCCATTTTTTCCGAAGCTTTACTGGTTTAGCCATTGTAGTTCTGTAGAGTCACGAGATCAGCCTGGCCAATTGCCCTAGATCGTCACCACCACAGGCAGTCGGCGCCTTTATGGATCAGAGAGAGATTTGCCACCATACGACTAGTTTTATACCGGGACGGTGGTGGATCCTGTTATTGGTTGAAGGTTATTGGCTAGTTGGTTGAAAAAGCTTATAAGCAAAAAAAGCTTATTTGCACAAATAGAAACTCTCTGAACTATGCAAGAAAACTGTACGAATAAAGTAAAAATTATAAAAATTAATGCGAAGAAAAGAAACCGTCAGCGCAAAAAATGCCAAATGTTTCAATCATGGTTAGTGCTACAAATTTTAGAAGTGTCATTATTAGACAATAAGTTTGTGCAGTTAGGAATCTAACTGTGTAACACCTGTCAAAAAAGCTACAGACGTTTTTCAAGACAAGACTTCTATCCAATTCCAGGCGCTGAAGTCTTAAAGGCAAAGCAGGTCTCATTTTTCAGAGAACCTCTTCTTTTACCGGAAGGAGTAACCCAATGATTACTGATGCAGCCGATCAGAAAGCAAAGGCACCAGTTCCATCCTCTCACCGATGGCCTTCTCCAATCCACGTAGTAACGCCTTAACCCGGCTCTCTTTAAGACTGCATGAAGAACTGACTCGACCAGCAATTTACGGCACCAATAAAGCAGAGAAACTTCTCAAGCTTCAAAACAATATGCGAAACGTTCAAGGAAGCGTTACGTAGAGTAGATTAGGTAACGGGTGGTGTGAAAAAAGCATCTCATCGAATACTTTTCTCGTCGTTGTACTTTTCACATATTAGATTACAGTAGTTCTTTGACTATAAATCTTTCTATTTCCTTCAATACTAAAGATGGATAAACGAACTGCAAGAATCAAAAGAACAGTGAAAAAAGACTAGGGAAAAATCTTTTGAACGAAAATAAGGTGGTGGAAAATACATAAACTACGGTAAAACACTAAAAAGAATGAAGACGAGATTCCCTTGTGAAGAAATCATGAACTGGCCTGAAGGGAGGTGAAAGAGGAGTGTTAGAAGTCAGCGTGCGATCGCCTATTTATAAGTGGTCGCGTGAGTGTGACGTGGGACATCACTAAACCTGTCCTCACTTACCCGACGGTGGTTCTTCTCTGAAGAACAGCTTAATTTAATGGTGGGCTAAGAGGGGCCGCCGCCAAGAACCTGCAATAGAGCTGGCGAACCCAATCATCATGTTACGATGCCATATCTTAGAAAATTTAGCGCAATGAATGGGGTCAAGTGAGCCTACTCTTATCATAAGGTATATAATTTTAAGTTGAAAAACTGGAAATGCTTGATCCTGTCTCATTGGATCGTAAATCATCCATTGAAGATCGCTGCATGATTAATCGTCTCATTTTAAGATGGAATTCGAGCTCATCGATAAGATGTTTTCATTTTAAGAACTAAACTCATGCAGCCATTTTATGTTCAACACGCTGGTTGTTTGTCTAACCATGAAAGGCTAGACGGACCTTCAGCATTGAGGTCACTACCAATACCTTTTCAGTTATCGTATCATTCTGTTGAGATAGTCAGTAAGATATAGACACTTTTACTTACTGCTTACTCTTTTTTCATTACAGAGTATAATGTAAAACACAATATACGGTTATTTCGTATTATATTATTATACTATATTCTACTAAGATAATTTAACGTCTCATATATATTAACTTGTCTATCGTCTATCTAACAATCGTCCCACACGTAGAATTGATCCCCGCGTCCATGACCCACCAAGCCTTCCATCCCTCCGGAGTCGGCAAATTGATACCAGACTTGTCCGGGAGGATAGCAGCACTGGTTCGATATATCGGCAGGCCACCACGAGTCATTGCAAAGGCCAGATATACATTCAGTCATCTCCAAACAATGTTTAATGAAGTCTAATGCATGGCGCATCGCTAAGGGAATGATTAACGCCGAGAGCTTTAGAGTTTTTTTATACCTTAACTAGTGACAAGCTCATTTTTGCTGTGAAACAATGGTCATATCATCGCTAACAAAAAAGTGAACGAGAAAATCCTGCCACTATCGCCCAGCACTGAACGCCAGCCTTATTATGAGATTTTCGCTGTTCTCTTCCTTTTTGGACTACATTAGGGAAGCGTGATAATGAAATGCGTGGCGATAGTAGGAAGAAGCTACTTTCTTTTTCTCGGACTAAGATGTTTCACAAGCTCGAAATCTTACCGACGAAAATTTTAGTGCAGATTTGATTTTATCATCAAAATCTTACCAGAATAAACTTACGGTAAATTATGGGAACAGTGACAATATTTGACAACAAGTATAATAGGTATGGCCTGGAGATCAGGTTAATTCTACACATGCAATACGTTTTGCACCATAAAGCAAAACACATGATTTTTAGGATAAATCCTTTTCTGGTTTGAATTACTCAGAGACTCGCTACTGTGACGACCTTGGGAACGCCAAGCGTTCCGATGTGAGAGGTTTCCAGAGTAAGTTGATTCTTGTGTTCTTTTGTTAGCTTATTGCCTTCTTTGACTTTTTCCTGTACAAGTCGCCCACTTAGAGCCTATACTTTTATCACTTTCTTACTAAGAATTGTTCGAACTCGAAACTGTATTTAAAAAATAGCTATCTTTTAGAGGAATTCCTTCTATTTGACGAGGACCCAGTTAACACCTATCATTTTCATTAGTTCTTATTTCTATAATACCTATTTATAAGCACTTCTGTAGCTTACAATGATACGACTTGTGTGCTCCAGCACTTTTTCCACTTATTTGTTCCCCATAAAGGTGCTCAAACCGATGCCCAAACTTGGTGATTTGTGGTTATCTCTCTTCATCTCCATATCGAATGTTTTTTTGAGCAGCACTTTTCCCGTAACGCCGAAATAATCGCGTAAGCGCATATCACAGTTTTCAGCGGATTTGATCACCAGCACTTGCGGATCAAAGAGATCTCTTCTGCATTCCATTTAAATTCCTTTCGGAGGTGAGTGACACGGTGTGACATATCGAATCTAGAATCATCGAATAAACAAGAAGAGAAATCGCAGCTTTCCTTCTCAC